GACTCATTTATTATGATCAATTAGAATATTTGCAATAATTTATACGGTAATATGAAAACTTTAGTAAAACTATTGGATGTAAAATAAATTAATGAGAAGTGTAACAAAAAAATATTAGAAAAGGAGAGAGAGAAAAAAGAAGAACTGCAAGAGACTTCATTAATTAATTAATAACTGAATTATATGAGTAGTACAAAGTGCGATCGGAATTTTAAAATTGAACTTAATAAGTTTTATTGATTATTTGCATATTTGTTTTAATATAATTCTTTCATCAATTGTTAGTATAAGAATCAAACAAAAATTTCAAAAGAAAAAAAAAGTGTTAATTAATGCTAATTACAATCGAATCAATCTTTAAACAATGAAATTTGTTCAACACTGCAATTCACTAAATATGAGCTACAATAAATGGAAAATTAAAAGAGTTAAAAGTGTGTTAGTTTATAAAAATTGAAACAATTAAAAACTATAAATTAATTGAAATATTATTTAGAAATGTCAGCAGTGGTTGATGAGGGACATAGTTCTGGACAACCTATTACAGCATTACAGGCTGCCTGGAATGTTACTAATGCAATTCAAGGAATGTTTATCGTTGGTTTACCGATTGCTGTCAAAGTATCATTTGAAATATTTCTTTCATATATTTTAATAAAAGATGATATAAATGTAAATGAGAAAAATTATCAAATAATAAAAATTTCTTTTTCTTAATTTTTAATTATTGAAATTTTTGGAATTATGAATTTTCTCTAATTTATATCATTGTTTAATACATTTTATAACATTTTCCATTTTTCTCCTTGTCCATTGTCCATTCTAACTTGTAAAATTTATAAATCTTTGAGATCATCTAAGAATTTTTATCTGGGATTCATGATTCATTGATATTATGTAAAATTTACAACTGTTATTTAAATCTTTAGGATTAATGATATATTATCTAGAATCTGAAATTCTCATTCAGTTAGAATTTAGGATTATTATTCCGAACTTTAGGATCAGTGATGTTGCCCAGAATCTAGGATTCCTATTTAAAACTTAATAATCACTGAAATTATCTACAATCTAGGATTCTTATCCAAAACTTATAGAACGGTGATATTAGTTAGGATATAGCATTGTTATTTAGGACTTAAAGATTAATGATATTAATGCTTATCCAAGAATTTACAAATTTTCCCAGTAGGTTTAGCACTGGACAAGAAATAATGAAAATAGAAAAGGATGGAAAAGAAAGAGGTAAATAATAGAAGATAAATGGATTAATGTTTGATATCGTTATCATTACCGTTATCCTATAATCGTAGCAATACTGTAATAACAGTAACTAATTTTAGATTTTTCTCTATTATTAGATCGTAATTTCTTTTCTTTTTTTTTCATTTGAAAGTATAATTTAACAGCTGATGAATTTTTGATCATTCACATGATTATTCGATGATCATTCAAAAAAAAAAAAATTTCCAATATTTTGATTAATAATGTTGGTATCGGTAACAGTACTGTTTGATATCGTTATCATTACCGTTCCTATAATCGAAATAGTACTGTAATAACAATAATCAATTTGAATATGAATTGCATAGATTTGACATTTTATCAACAAAAACTTTTTCACATCAAAATATGATGAAATTTTTAAAAATATGGCAAGATTTGCTAACAAATATATAAAAATTTAATCAATGATATTTGCTAATAAATATGAAAATTCAATAAATAAAAAAATTAATGAAAAATTTAATGAATAATAAGATATCTAAGATATAGATATATGATAAGATAGTGATAAGATGATAGGATAAGGTGATAAAGCGATAAGGATAACGATATGATAGAAATAATAAGTTGTAAAAGAAATGATATATGCAATTTTTTTTTTTAAAAAAAAAAACTTATAATTTTACCATAATTAGATGCATAATATCGTATAATTTAATAGAATTTGTCACCATTGAACGATCGATAATACTAAAGGATCAGAATAAAAAAAAAAAAAAATTTTTTTTTTGCAACAAACAATTTGTATCTTGAAGTATTCATTTTCATTTGTTTAATTTGCAATAAAAAAAAAAAAAATTGAAATAAATAAATATTCAACATCCTGATATATAATGGATGAAGGAAATTAGTTATAAATTTAAATTTAAAATTAAAAATTTCTTTTTAGAGAATGATTCCTTTCATGTAATAAAATTTAAAATTTATTTTAACTTAAAATCATCAGTAATAGCTAAAAAAAAAAAAAAAGGACGAATAAGTGTTAGAATTATTAATTAATCTAATCGTAATTTAATTAATCAATTTTTCTAAATTTAATTTAAGGTTGGTGGATGGTGGACAATTGCAGCAATTCTTGGTGTTGCATATTTATGCTA